CGAGTGCGGCTGCAGCGCGGCGCTGGGCGGCCGGTGGCGCGCGCTCTTCTGGTGGGCGCGCAGGCCGGCCAGCTGCGAGTAGGCGCTCTGGCACACCTGGCACTTGTAGGGGCGCTCGCCCGTGTGCAGGCGCACGTGGTTGCGCAGCGTGGACGACTGGCTGAAGCGGCGGTTGCAGAAGCGGCACACGAAGGGCTTGTCCAGCGTGTGGATGCGCATGTGCGAGCGCAGGTTGCTGCGAGAGTTGAAGCCGCGGTGGCAGATGACGCAGCGCATGCGGCCCGCCGTGCCCGCAGCCGCGTCCGCGGGGTGGAAGTCCTCTGGGCGCGGCGGGGGGGAGAGACGGGTTAGAGCCACAGAACCCGCGCGCAATGCACGCCACTCCACGCTCCGCGCCACCCGCGCCGCAGCCCGGCTCGGGGATCTGGGCCCTGCAGGCCTTAGGGCTGGGTCAAGTAGGAATTGGGTTCTCCATCCCTCTGGGAGCTCTGGGAGATCTTAGTGACTTGGCCCCCTAAGCTCAGCTTGCTCATCTGTCAGATGAGAATCCAGAGCTGGAAATGGTGGTGCACACCTGTGATCTCAGCATTGTGGGAGGCTGAGGCAGGAGGATAGCAAGTTGGAGGCCGAGGAGGATAGCAGCCTGGGTTATTTAGCGATGTGGTGAAACTCTGTTGCAAAATAAAAAATAAAATATAGGGCCGGGGATATAGCTCAGCGGCACAAGCGCCTGCCTGGCAAGCGCAAGGTCCTGAGTTCGATTCCCGGTACCAAAAAATAAAATAAAATAAAAAGGCCGGGTATGTATAAAGGCCCTGAGTTCAACTGCCGACATAGGGGGGGAAAAAAAGGGAAAGGAAAAAAGAAAAAAAAGGAACCTAGTCAAAAACCAGCATTGTTTAATTCATCTCCCAAATATCCATCGACCTTCCGCTGTGTACCAGGGAGTGCAGGTCAGGTTCTCATGCCTGCAAAGGCCATAGCAGTGTTGCCCCCGTAAGTAAAGGTCAGAAGTTAATGGCCTCAGGTTTCTCCTCTAACAATAAGGAGAATCAAGTTCCACAAGGGCTTAGTGAGGCTTTTGATGCTCATCAAAGGTTGCATTTCTTACCCAGGAAACCAGAGCTAGCCCGGTACTTGGCAAAGCATGTTTTAGTTTTTTGGTTTTGGTTTTGGTTTGGTTTTGCTGTTCCCTCCAGTACCAGGGAGTAAACCCAAGGTTTCTGCACTGAAGCCCTTTTCAGTTTTTGAGAGAGAGTCTTGCTAAGTTGCCCAGACGCTAGAGACTCCTGCCTCAGCCTCCCCAGTACTGGGATCACAGGCACCACTGCCACACCAGGCCTGTGGCATAGGTGCTGAGCAGGGGTGTCTGTGTTGATCAGCAGTGTTCCTGGACACACACAGGCTCGTTGTGCCCTGCTTCATACTTGATGTCAGCTCCTATGCCAGGGATAGGGGCAGGGACGGGATGTCCTGGTTGGAAAGGAACTCAGAGATCGCCCTGCCTGAGACCTTTCCTCCGAGGAAACTGAGGCTCAGAGCAGCCCCCAAGATTTCACAGTGAGTCAGAACTGAGTGCTGTCCTGCCATCTCTCCTCCTGCCACCCCCCCCAACTGGGCCCAGGGTCCCCAAAGCCAGGACTCCGGTTCCCGCCAGGGGCACCTACCGTGTTTGTTCTTCTTCTGCTCGTCCTCCAGCCCGGGCACCCCAGGGATGCCCAGGAAGGTGTTGTGTGAGTTTCCATACCACACCAGCAGCTCCTGGTCGGGGGGGATCATCTGCAGGGACAGAGGCCAGATGAGGTCAGGGAGGCCACGAGGCCCCGGGGACATCGTGCCCCTCTGCCCCTCCCCAGGCCTCTTGTCATCTCCGTCCCGGCCTGCACCACAGGACAGGAGGCTGGTGGGGCCGGGCCAGGTGCTCCCGAGGAGCAAAGGCTGTGGGCTTCCGGGGCACTTGGTTACACCCTGCCTGAGAGTGTTCTGGAAGCAGCTCTGTCCAGGCACACAGCAGCAGCGAGTCCCATGCCCTCCGCCATGGCTTTGCAAGGCTCGGACTGATGCTCACCCCCGCCTCAGAAGATGCCCAGGGGTGCAGCCTCACAGAGGCCATGACAAGAGCCTACAACCGATGCCAGACCAGGGAGATGGCAGAGGGTGTCTGAAGCGACAATCACAGTGGCAGGAAGGCTTGGTTCCAGAGGGGGTGCCCCAAGAGACCCTGGCCTTGATAAAAAAGTTAGTCACCTCTCCTAGGTGGGAACCTAGAGGCCCAGCCAGATAGGGCAGAGGAGAAAAGGGACAGCTGTCACTATCCTGAGGCCTGGTCCCCAGAGGGCTGGCTGTGACGCCTGCCCTGGGGACACTGGAGAAAGCCAGACGCCCCAGAGACAGCTGCCTTGTGTCCCTGGTGGGTCCCCTTTCAGGAGAGTCCACTAGAGGTGTCTGAAACCGCCCAGAGCAGGGTCACAGAGAGAAGGTCCCTCCACCAGGGTGTGGCCTGCCACCCTGCCACACCCAGAGCCCTCGGTCACCACATCCTCCTGCCTGTGTCCGAGCACGGATACCCTTGGAGCCCAGCATCGAGCTCTGCCAACCCCAGAGCAGGGGTAGGACAGGAGGGCACGGGGGCCTTGGCAACTGCTATGCCTGATACTCAGCCTGCAGCCACCATGCCCCTTCCTGCAAGCACATTGCCATGGGCTTCAGAGAGCCAGCTCGGGGGTACAAGCAGGTCTGGGTTTCTGCAGTGACCCCAGGGTAGGTGTCACGGCCAGTTTGCTGGGGACCAGAGCTCGTGCGGCTGGTCTGGTTGTCACAGTCATGGTGGCCGTCCAGGAGGCCCCCGGGAAAGGGCAGAGGAGAGAGGTTTTGTGAGACCTGGGAGAGGCGGACGGAGGGCGCGGGGCTGAGCGAGGCGGGACCGGGCATGCCTGGCCCGTGGAGCCTGGGCTCCGCCAGTCCCGTGCTGGAGGAGGAAGAGGAGGAGGAGAGGGTGAGGCGAGATAGAGGAAGAGGAAGGAGATCAAGAAAGGAAAGGAGAAAGCAAGGAAGGCGGGGAGAGGGAGAGGGAGGCAAGGGCGGAAGGAGGGGGCAGGGAGGGGAGCGTTACTCCCCGAGTGGGTGCTGGCCTTCGGATGTCTTAACATGAATTGATCGCAGAGGAAGTGGCTCTAAAGCGGGCACAGATGGGCCCAGGTCACCGGGGCCCTCCTGACCTCACACAAGTCACCGCGCCTCTCTCGGCCCACGTTCTCACACGAGAGCGTCGGGGAACACAATCCCCGAGGCCCCCACTCTGCAACCCGATGTGAGTGACCGCCAGCGCTGTCCCCAGCCGGCCTTCGGGTCAAAGGACAGCAGGCTCTGAACACCACGGTGCCTGCCCCCTCCCGAGGCCCCCCGCACGGGGGTGCAGCCGCCTGCCGCTCGGGCAGCCTTGGCCCGGCCGGCTGTGCTCTGGGGCCTCCGCTTCCTCAGCGGTAAAGCAGGGACCGTGCGTCACCCTGGCCTGCTGCTGTCAGGTGCGTCGTCTAACTGAAGTCACTCTGCCTGTCGCGCTTCTCTGCACAGAGCGTTAACCAGCGTTTTCCCGAAGGTCTCAGAATGCGGAGCCCAGGAAGGGTGCAGGCTGGGGACGTGGACACCAGCCCCACGCCAGTGCCCTGCTCTCCAGCTCCGCGTGTGCCCCAAGAGAAGCCACCGCTCTGTCACAGCTGTGGACAGAGGCCCAGGTGGCCCCAGATGCAGTCCGGAACCACAGCTCTCAGCGGGGCTGGCAGTGCCCACGTCTGGGAGCAGGACCAAGGCAAGCTGGCTTTCCCGTCTGAGTGAAAATAACAGCCAGCATTAAATGCAAAGTAGATATACTAAGCCGGGCGTGGTGGCACACACCTGTTATCCCAGCACACGGGAGGCTGAGGCAGGTAGACTACCTCAAGGTTGAGGCCAGCCTGGGCTACATAGCCAGACCCTGTCTCAAACATAACAAAACAAAAAGCAAAGTAAATCTAATAATGGAGATGATGAGTGAGAATCAGATCCACAACATCTTGGATTATGTTCATCAGGAATATATATATATATTTTGTTTGTTTGTTTTGTTTGTTTTTCTCCAGTACTGGGAATCGAACTCACGACCTTGCGCTTGCCAGGCGGGCACTGTGCCGCTGAGCCAAATCCCCAACCCCAGGAATATACTTTTTAATTCAGGAATATTCTTTTCCCCAGTGATTATTTGGGGCTGGGGTTGTTGCTCCGTAGCAGAGCACTTGATGAGCCTGTGCGAGCCCCTGGTTCCACCCCCAGTGCTGAGGAAGGGGAGAAAAGAAGAAAAGGAAGGAAGGAAGAGAGGGAGGAGGAAAATGATTGCTTGGAATATTAGTTTTGCTTTGTTTTGTTTGTTTGCAGCACTGGGGATGGAACGCAGGTCTTCACAAAGAGCTACATCCCCAACTTGCTTTAAAATTTATTTTGAGACACGGTCTCACTAAGTCACTAAGGCTGTGTAGGCTGGGTTTGAGCTTTTGATCCTCCTGCCTGAGTCTCCAAGAGTGCCGGGACCATAGGTGTGCACCACCACACCAGCTGCTAGGCATGTTATTTTTAAAATAGCAACATCAGCAGTGCCTGGTGTAGTATAAGGGCAAATCATTTATTTACTAATGTATTTTTAAAATTTGCTAAAATTATTTTTACTCAACTTAAAAATTGAAACATATGGGCATAAATGTATAGAAGTATAGAAGGGTAAACAATGAAACTTCTTCACTCTGGGGGCCCAGCGGCTGCCCCCGGCTCTCTAGACGTCGTTCCCCTGAAAGGCTCGGCATTCTGAGACACTCGGAAAAATGCTGATTAAAGGTCTGTGCAGAAAAGCACGATAGGCAGCGTGACTTCCAGTTTAGATGATGCATCTGGCTTTTTAGAAAACAATGAGAAAGAGCATGCTGGGCATGGTGCTGCACAGCTGTAAGCCCAGCATTCTCGGAGGCTGAGGCAGGAGGATCGTGAGTTCAAGCCCAGCCCGGGCAATGTAGTGAGACTGTCTCAGAAAAAAATAACAATGGCTGGGGATGTAGCTCAGTGCAGAGGCCCTGAACCAAACCAAACAAACAAGAAAAAAAGAAAAGAAAAAAAAAAAAAAAAAGAATTATATCTATATACATACACACATTTAAAAATTTTTTTCAGTGTTTAGGACTTTTAATTTGTTCTAAAAATATCACTAAAACAAAAATCACGGTAAAGCATTCTGCTTTTCCTTACAACCCCTCACACACACACACACACACACACACACACACAGACATGCGCATGCACACACACATTTGTGTTTGTAGGAAAAAAATGGTTCTGCTCAGGGAAAAATATATTTTAAAAAAAAAGCCTTGAAAGTCTAAAACCAGGCGTGATGGCACACACTCCTAACTTCAGTCCTCAGGAAGCTGAGGCAGGAGGGTCAATGTGAGTTTGAGGACAGCCTGGGCTACAAAGTGAGTTCAAAGGCAACCTGCACTACACAAGACCCTGTCTCAAAAAACAACAAAAAGTCTATTCAGAAGAACCAAGTGGAAAGAAGGAGAAATTTTGTATGTATGTATATACAGGATAGTTAACGTAGTTGTTCTACTGTCTTCTATTTCTCTGCCGAAAGAAACTGTTAATGAGTCCCTGATTGATCAACATTGCATGTCTCTATCTGTTTTCATGAGAAACCACTCTGAAGATATCAATATGTAATACAAGAAGCATTGTTAATTTCCTACCACTTTGCTTGTAACTCTGTATTGTCTGTACTGTTATTTGCTGTTTTGTAAAAGGTTGTCTGTCTGTCTATGTTTTCCTCCTTTTATTTTTAAAATAATAAAAAAAAAAAGAAGAACCAAGTGGGACTGAGAGAGACGCAGGTCCACAGGCAGCTAGAGGCTGTCAGCCACACAGGCACGGAGGAGGGGACTGGGACCTAGGCCCTGCTCCCCTCCGCTTGCAGGCAGGCCTCCTCCCAGAGCCCCTGTGATCTAGCCCTGGAGATCCTAGGGGCTGCAGCTGCTCCCTGAGATGGTCCTGGGCCCTCACAACTTCCTAGGGCCAGGAAGCCACAGCCCCTGCAGGCCCCTGCCAGCGCAGTCACCATTGTCACGCGCCAGCAGGGCCAGCCTCTCTCTCCTCCCGGGGCTCTGACCTGAGTCACCAGCTCACTCCCAGTTCCCGGAAGCATCAGTTCCCACACCATAGAATCCACAGCACCAAAGCCCGGGGGAAGAGTGGAGCCCAAGTCTTTGGTCGACAGGTTTGTGGCCTCACAGCTCACACATGCCCCGTAGCCCCGAAGTTCTATGCTGCTCTGCTTTCTCAATCTTTATTCTAAATTGGAAATGATGAGCTTTGGGGGTTGTTTTCCTAATGCAAATTCATGCCCCAGCATTGAACATGCTCCCGGGAGACTGCCCCATCCCCGCACTGCAAGAATCACAGTGTCATCCGGGTGAACATCAATTCCCATCGTAAGCAGATGTCCTGACACACCAATTAATAGAGCCCCAGCAAACAGATACCGGCCAGGGAGGCCGTGCACAGGGCAATCAGCCAGGCAGGCCTGAGTTCAACTCCCAGCTCAGCGACCTCCCAGGATCTCCTGGACCTTAGTTTTATCATTAAAATGGGGAGAGCAGACCCAGGTGTGCAAAACCCTGGGTCCCACCCCCAGCGCCTCAGAGAAATAAAGAAATAGGACAGGGATAGTAATAAAGAGTACCTCACAGGGCTGAACAAATTCTGTTTTTGGTTTTTGGTTTTTTGAGACAGGGTCTTGCTCTGTAGTTCAGCCTGGACTTGAACTCATTCTGCAGCCCAGGTTGGTTTCAAACTCATGATGACCCTCCTGCTTCAGCCTCCCGAGTGCTGGGATTATAGGTGTGCACCACTGTGCCCAGTCAAATTCTATTTTTAAAAAGTGCATGGCTGGAGCCGGGTGTGGTGCACACCTGTAATTCCAGCACTCAGGAGGCTGAGGCAGGAGGCTCACCATGAGTTTGAAACCAGCCTGGGCTAAGAGTGAGTTGAAGTCCATCCTGAATTACAGAGCAAGATCTGGTCTGATTAAAAAAAAAAGTGTAAGGCTGAGAGTGTAGCCTGGTGACAGAGCACTTGCCTGTGTAGCATGCACAAGGTCCTGAGTTCATTCTCCAGTATCAAAAAAAAAAAGTTGCTAAGACCTTTTGAAAAGGGTGTTAGCATAGCACCACATGGTAAATGCCCTGCAGATGGTAACACTGATGCCTATTATTAACAGAGCAATTTAAATGTGTACACCAGGGGCTGGGAATTCAGCTCAGTGGCACAGCGCCTGCCTGGCAAGCACAAGGTCGTGAGTTCGATTCCCAGTACCGGGAAAAAAAACAACAACAAAAAATGTGTACACCAATGAACAAGAGCAAAAGAACAACTGTGCTCATCCTCATAGCTTTGGTGCTTTGTGTGTGTATGTGTGTGTGTGTGTGCGTCTTTTTGGGACAGGGTCTCACTGTGCAGTTCAGGCTGGCCTTGAGCTCATTTTGCAGCCCAGCATGGTCTCGAACTCGCAACAATCCTCCTGTCTCAGCCTCCCAAGTGCTGGGATTACAGACATGCACCACAATGCCTGGCGTTATCTTCCTAGTTAACAGAAGAGTCAGGCACCATGCTGCGTGCTGTAATCCTAGCTACTCAGGAGGCTGAGGTAGGATGGTCTCATGTTTGAGGCTGGCCTAGGACACTTAGCAAGACCCTGTGTCAAAATAAAAATTTATAAAACAGCTGGCTGTAGCTCAGTGGTAGAGTTTGCCTAGCCTGTATACCAGGCTCTGGGTTCAATCTCTAGTACTGTAAACAAACTAATAAACAAATAACTAAATAAGAGAGAAAATGAGGAAGGAGATGGGGATCTAGAAGAAAAGAAAAACCTCAAGTACCTGAAATAAGTGGGGAAAAAGGCAGGAGAGAAAAGCCTACATTTCAGGACCCAATCATTTGCTAAAAGCAGGGAAGGGAAAGACAGAGTACCCAAATCCAAATGGTGATAACTTATTCCTAAATGCTCTCCTTGCGCCGCCCTTTGAAATTAGGCACAAGTCTTGCTCCCTGGTGCAGCTTGTTTTGTCTCTGGAAGGTCCGGGTCCTTGTGTTTATCGCCCGCCACCTGCCCCTGCCCCGAGAAGATGACTTCTCGCTGTGCCACGTCCTGTGCCCACCCGTGAGTGCAGGGCACCCCTTGGACACACGCTCTGAGGACCAGGAGCTGCAGTGAGCATCTGCGGCTGAAGTGAGCCTGGAAGGCGGCCCGGGTGACACCGGAGCAGACCCAGCCCAGCACCGCCTCCCTATGGCTCCCCGACAGCCGCTCGTGCGCAGAAGCCCCTTGGCCTTGGTTTGCGCGTGGGGAAAGCCATCGAGCAGCTACAGGATGCCATGCCTGTGGGATACAGATGTCCTGCACACTTCCGGCAAATAACGGGTTACTGTTACAAAGTACGAAAGGCCTTGCAAGTGGCTGGTGGGAAGATTAAGAAAACAGATCGCTGCTCAGGTCCCTCTCCCTGGCCACCCTGACCCGGAGAACAACGGTGGGTTTATTCTGGAGGCGCCAGGCACACGAGAGCTGCGTGGGCTGGACAGTGCGCACGGACACCCGGACACGCCAGTCACCGGCCTGCGGAGTCTGGCCTGGCCGAAGGGCTGGGGAAAAGTGAGCCCGACTTCACTTTGAAGAGGGCCTTGGGGGCGTGTTATGTCCTCCGTCCCTCGCGCACAGTGCCTTTGCAGGGGCTCCCTGACTGAGAGCATGACGAGCCACGCCGGAAATCTCTGTTCATCTGAACCGTCTGCATCACGTGTGCAGCAGCACATAGTTTACATGTGGCTACAGAAGGTGGCCTTGGACTACAAACTTACAGTCCTGATCAAATGTAGGTCAACTTTTTTTCCTAATCCTATAAATTCAAGTCCCTCCCTGGAGCTGTTTCTCAGCCACCTTGCCTTCTAATTCTGCATTTTTTACTTTTCTTTCTATTTTTTGTTTTGCTTTAGTTGCTGTGGTTTTAATTGTTTTGTTTTGTTGCTATGTAGTCCTGGGGTTGTCTTGAACTCACTAAGTAGCCCAGGTTGGCCTCAAACTCCAGGCAATCCTCCTGCCTCAGCCTCCTGAGTGCTGGGATGACAGGCGTGGGCCACCACACCTGGTTGACTCTACATTTCTGCGTAAATGTCTGCTTATGTGTCCTGATGGCTTTCTACAAGACTGATGTGTGCGGGGAGATGAGACATAGGGCCCTATGTACACAGGTGTCTGGCCTGTCTCCTGTGTGCACATGTGTATGTATACACACACATCTGTGTGGAGCGGGAACGTACATGCACTTGTGTCGCGGCTGGAGGGAGTGCGTGAATATGACCCTGTGTATGTGTGTATGTGTGCGTGTGTGCATGTGTGGGTGTGTGTGGACCCAGGAGGGTGCACTCTGCTAAAAGTGGTTTCAGCCACACTGGAAGCCACTTCTAGGAGGTAGTGGCTCAGCTCAAGGGTTGCAGGAGCCCTCTGTCCTACCTTGAACCCACCTGGTTATCCTAGCACCTCGGGCTCCAGGGAAGCACCTGCTCACCCCTCCTCCACCAACCTCCTGGTTCTCCAGGGCCGCCCCTCAGCTGGGACTCGGTCCCTTGCTGCACCAGATCAGGCCAAGGCCCTCCTCCTTAGGGGGCCCCAGGGGCCTGGCTATCTAGGGACAGTAGGACCCCAGTCCCCAAAGCTGCTAGGCCTGGGCACCCTGGAGCATCTTAGAAAGAGCTCCAGGCTCCAAGCCCCAGCAACCAAATAGAGGGGGGATAGAAGGAAGTCCCTCTCTGTGCTCCCAAAGGGGCTCCTCCAGGCCACTCCCAAAGTGCAATCAGCCTCAGGACCCCCACAATCCCGCCTCCTCCCTAGTCGGAGCAGACGCTGAGGTCCTGACAAGTGTGGTGGGACAGCTGTCACCCTCCACAACACTCACACCCCCAGGCCAGCACACAACCAAAGCTCTGCCAAGGGACATGTCTAGGGACAGTCCCCAGGATACGGCCGCCTTGGCTACCCCAGCTCTTCCTGCTCTGCAGCATCGCCGCCTTCACCTCAGCTTGCCGGCCTCTCTCAAGAGTCCCCTCTACCAGGCCACCTCCCTCCCCAGGCCTGGCTCAGCCCTCAGGCCCTCAGCCGCCACAGGGAGCGGCACCTGCCCTCTGGCCCCCACACCGTCCTCACTCCCCGGGAGGCTCACGGCACAGCTTCCCGTGCTAACGCCCGCAGAGGCCTGGCGGGAGCCCTGCACTCTGCCTGCTGCTGAGGGAGATTCTGTCTCCACGGCTGTGGACTGCGGGTCACCCCGGGATCCTTCTCACGGCGTCTCATGGACAGCAAACATGACAGTGCATAGCAGGCGCCTGCGGGAAGCCTGGTACACAGCGCACCATCACCGTCGCTGAGACCAGTCCCTCTCCCCGCCAAACGCACCCTGGCCTGCCTGCTGCTCCTCATCTCACTCTCTGAAATAGCTCTGCCCTCCGAACTGCAGCACACCCTCAGCCAATCTCTAGGAAGTCACTACGGAGATGTTCCTGGCACTCACATGGCGAAAAGTTGAAAGCGCCCATCCTTCCCATCTGCGGCAGAAAACTGCCCTGTAGGGCGGGCTCCAGAGACCACAAAGCACGAGCCCCAGTTCTGCAGCCAGGGCAGCGTCCCTCTGCCCTCTGTGGCTCCCCCCCGCAGGAACCCCCCTACTGGCCCCTACATGGCTGTGCATGCACGTACACACACACACCTCAATGGCCTTGTAGAAGATGCTGGTGCCGATCTGGACCACCTCCAGGTTTTGCTCTTGCTCGTTCCGGGCGCACTTGATGTAGGTCATCCAGCTCCGGTGGTCCTCCTGGCTGGCATCGATGAAATACCGCACCGTCCCGTCTTCATTGAACACCTGGGTGCAGGTAGAGAGGAGCCCAGGTGAGGCAGGGCTGTGCCACGTGTGTGCTTGGTGGGCCAGGTGCAGATGCCAGGCCAGCCACATCTGCACACTCTTTCCATTCCCAAGCAGCCCAGAGAGTGGGTAAAGCTATGATCAGCTGCGTTTGCCCCCTGAGGAAAGGGAGGCTCCTGGTGCAGTGGTTTCTTGCCTGAGGATGGGAGGTCAGAAGTGGCCAAAGAGGCATCAGTGTCCAGGGCTCCTGCTGCTAGGGCCTCCTGACTCCTTGCTAGGGCCTCCTGACTCCCAGAAGGAAGGGGGTGCTTCAAGGGATCCCTGCACAGACAAAGTGGCCCCAGCTAGCTCCCCTGAGGGCTGCAGAGGTGCCCCAAGACACGGGCCAGGATCTCAGATGGAAACACAGGAGCCCAGAGCGGGCCAGCTGCTCACTGTGGCCCCTGGCCCGGCCTAAGCTGCTTTGTGGGAGCCGCGAAGAGCACGCAGAGGTCCGACAACCACTAGCTCAGGCCGACAGAGGAGGAAGAAGATGAGGTCAGGTGAGGCCTCAGGTGGGTCGCGCCTCTGTTTCCTGGCTCCTGCTCCTATGACCAGCTGCAGGATTGTCACTCTGGGCTCCCCAGGGTCTGCCAGGTTGGGGGAGCAGGAGGGGAGGAATGGCATTAGGAAGGAGAGACGCCATCTGGCCCGGTGGGTTTCCAGCTCTGCAGGGCAAGGGCCCCAGGGGGAAGAACGGCTGCTGGAGTGGCTTTGTCCTCAGGGTGGCCCTCGCAGGCGTCTGGCACTGTGGGGGCAGAGGAGGGCCGGCAGGCCAGGGGCCGAAGCCTCGGACTCCTTCTGTGAGGTGGGGACAACTCTCGGGGCTGCCGAGATAATCCCATGGGTGCAGGCTGGGGACTTGGCTGACTCAACGCCAAAACAGCGATGACCATTTGACTCAGTACGTACGTCATCGTGCTGGTGTTGGGACACCAAGTCCCAAGAAACACAGACTTCCGCTGGTCTCCATTGCAGCCACCCCTCACCCTCAAGCCGGGGCTGGCACTGGGGGGCATCTCTGGCTGCTTCTGTGGCCAGGGGCAAAATGCAAGCATTTTGAAGGTCACCCCCAGGTAGGCTTCCCAGCACACCCCTGAGGGTCCTGGGCGAGCGAAGGGCCTGCTGGATCTCAGTGCTCCGTCTGTGCGGTGCAGACAGCAATGCCGTGCTCTAGGGTTGACCTGAGCGGGCAAGGACAGTGAGATTCTCCCCTCTGAGGACCTGGCCAGCAGTCTGGGGAGGAATCTCCAGGAGAGAAAGCTCCCTGCCTGGTGGCAGTGGCCGACTTATGGTCCCGCCCCATGGGTATTCAGGTTGGGAGCGTCCATGGCTCCCGGCAAGAACGGAAACTGCCCCTGCCACCAGCAGCCCGGGCGCCTCAAGGTGGCCCAGCGTCCCTACCTCCCACATCAAGTTGTTGTTCTTGCAGATGTCCACGTGCTCGGGGGCGATGACTCGGCCGGTGAAGGGGCCCATCTCGGTGCCCGCCTTGATCCACGTTTTGGAGAAGATGCCGAGGCCCTCGCCAGGGATGGAGCTCTGGGCGATGATCACCTCCACCGGCAGCACCAGGCTGGACAGTTTCTGCACCTCTGCGGCAGGGCGGGGAGCCAGATCAACGCCTACGTCAGCCCGTGGAGAGGCAGCCCTTCCCTGCCCCACCCGGAGGCCACCCGTCCTCCAAGGCCTGGCCAGCCCCACACCATCCCCGACCGACCTGGAGAAGACGCCCCGTAACCAGAAAGCGGCCCCATGCAGAGGCTTGGTGAACAGAGTCCCCCCTGCTCACTCAGGCTCAGCTCTTTTTTCCTTTTTTTTTCTTTCCTTTTCTTTTTTTTTTTGCGGGGGCAGGCGGTACTGGGAATCAAACTCAGAAGCTCCGGACCTTGCCCTTGTAGGCAGATGCTGTGTTGCTGAGCTACGTCCCGGCCCTGGGCTCATTTCTAAGAGCGGATTTTCAGTTCCTCCACGAATCCTCAAAGCTTGTACAACCTCCTCTGCCTTCCATCCCGGAAAAGCATCAGAACTAGCGAGCCCACTGCTGCGCATGGGGGTACAGACGCGGAAACTGAGGCCAGGTCCCTCCGGAAGGTGACAGCCCGCCCGGGACTCTGGCCCAGTCCTGTTCGGGGCGCTTTTGTCGGTCGCTCACTTCTCGACCCCTCTGCGCCGCGGCAGGCGTGGGCGCAGGCACTGGCGGAGGAGCCCGGCCGCGGTCAGCACTGGAGACCGATCTTGGGAGAGAGGGCGGCAAAAGCTGGGCCGCGCGACGTGACCCCGGGCACCCCGGGTCCCTCTCCGCTCCAGGAAAGCCCCGAAGTCGCCTCTCCAGGCTGGTAAGAGCCAGCGCCGCTCCCCGCCCCAGTCCCCCTACCGGGCCTCGCAGCCAGGGTGGGAGCAGCCAGGCGCGCAGGGGCGGCCTCCTTGTCTTACAAGGTTCCCCTCTAAGCTACCTGGGAAAATACCCGGCGAGTGGGCCGGCTGAAAGAGGGGGTTAAACGGTGTCCATTGCAGCGCGGCCGGCAATTTGTCACGCTGTTAAAGTGATCGCATTCACCGGGCTCCATTCGAAAGAAATTGCTAATTCTAAATTCATTAGCCCTGGAAGAATGCTGTAGCAGTAAATTGTAGCTCAATGTGGAGGGAACTTGTTTAAAAGGGGCCGAGGAATTCCCCTTACAAAAAGGGGGGATTAGATGGTTGACATAGCGTGAATGGAAGTGGAATTAGTCTTCACGGTAAATTAAGAGAGGAACAGAAATCGTAAAGGGGGAAGAGAGGGCGACGCACAGAGATGCCAGCGCCAGGGAAAGATATTGTTTGCGGGTTGATGAATGAGGAATAAGAACTTGAGACATCTTAAAGAAAAGAAACTTTTCTTTCTCCGCTCTCTCGCCGGCTTTTTCTCCTGGCCCTGCAACCCTCCGTCCCTCCCCGGCCCCTGCAGCCTTTTAAAGTTCTCGGTTTAAGTGGGAACTTTCGAGGGTCAAGCCCAAGTTAACCAAATGAATTTAAAACCCCTTCTTTTGGAGTCAACTGCTATTACACGCCTAGTAAGGCTTTCAATGCCGGGAACCTGCCAGCCCGGGGCGAGGGTGGGGTGGGGAGCCGGTGCAGGACAGAGCGGTGAGCTGTGTAGTCAGGGTCAATGGGATCTATGTGATCCTCCCCGGTGCCGCCCTGGCGTGGCTGATCAGAGCCCCCCGTCGGACCCACGGCGGACACTGAAGCGAAATGGGCCGCGCACGGGCAGAGCTGGTTCCAGCAGCCACCAGACCCTGCACCACCGAGGTGGTCCTCCACCAGCCAGCCTGGGGTTGGGCTGCAGGGAAGTAGGGATGGAAGGAGCCTCGACGGCCTGGCGAGGCGACACTCACCGCCGGAGAAGGACTGTGCCAGGACCTCTGCGGTGAAGGCCGTCTTGGGGCCGGTGTGGTGGCTCTTGTCTTCCAGGAGCTGCTCACCCAGTACGTTCCGCCATCGGCCGTACAGAAAGCTGTGCAGGATGTCGGAGGTGATGACCTCTGCCAGCGCCAGCCCCGGCGCCTTCAGCCCCGTCTTGAGCACCAGGGCCTCAGCCGGGAGCACGGAGCCCATCATGGGCAGCACGGGGCTCGCCGGCGCCGGGAAGGATCGCCGGGCTGGGCCAAGACGGGAGCGGAGGAGGAGAGGAGAGGGCTGCACTGGAGGAGGAGAAGGAAGAGGTGCCGGGGAGGACCAGCGGGAGGAGGAGGAGCAGGAGGAGGAGGGGGAGGAGGAGGGGGGGGGAGGAAGAGGAGGAGGGAGCGGCAGCCGGGAGTGGCTGGGAGGGAGGAAAGTGAAGGAGGGGAGACAGGCGGAGAGGAGGGAGACAGAAATCCGCAGAGATGGCAGCAGAGGAGCGCGGAGGGCTGCAGAGGCGCGGGTGGAGACAGAGGCGGGAACAGGGGGTGCGGGTGGGTGGGAGGCGGCGGCTGCCAGAGACTCAGGCGAGGGGCTCTCGGACGCGCGCCTGCCCGTCGCACACCCAGCCGGGACCGTCTTCCCCTTGGCAAAATCTCAGCGCCTTTATAGGAGCCGCAGTGACCCTCCTAATTGGTTATTAATGACCCCCTGACGTCGGAGGACAGACCTGCTGGGCCCGGCCGGGCTCGGAGGAGCCTTGGCTGAGAGCGCGAGGGCGGGGCGCGCGGACCGCTCGCCATGGCCCCCTCCGCACCTCCCTCCCTCCCGGCCCTTCCTCCCCCTCCTCTTCCTCCTCTTCTCCCCGTGGGAAGCGCTAGGCGGGGAGGCTCAGCCCGCGGCGAGGAGAGGAGGGGTCGGCAGGGAGGGGACGCAGCGAGGCGCGCTCGCCCGGACTCCAGGGACTGGGCCGGGCGGGAGGGACGCCTGGTCTCGGCCCCGCGCGCACCTCCTGTCCGGGGCAAGGTGCGCGCCCAGCACCCGCCCGGCCGGCCCTTTACCCGCGCCCCCTGCGCTCGGCCTCCCCTGGCCCGCGCTCTCCTGGTCCTCACGCCACGCGGCCAGGGTCGCCCGGCCCCGAAGCTCCCGCCGGGCCGCGCTGATCTGCGCAGACGGCGCTGCCCAAGCCTCGCTTCGCTTCGCTTCAAACGGGCCGGCCGCGCCCTTGGCTGTGCGCGCCGTGCGCACCCGGGTCCTCTTCACCCAGAGCTGCCGGGCGGGGCGGGGCCGCCATCCCGGCTGAGACCCGCAGGAGGCGGCTTCGCGGGCGGCCAGCTCCCGGTCCTGGGCTGCTAGGTTGAGGGTCGGGAAGCGCGGACTGAAATCTATACTGAGCGGCCAGTTGCTCGGGAAAGGCTCTCCTGTAAGACACCGGGAGCCATCGAGGGGTCTATGGACCCGTCTGGGTGGGAACCGCCGTGCCCCAGAGGCGCCCGAAACTGCTGGCAGCAGCTCCCAGGCCCCGGGGCAGCTCCACCTCGGTGCGCTGCGCTCTGAGGGACCCCTGCCTGCCTTCCTCCGCTCCTCCTGCCTTTTTCCTTCTCTTTTCACCTCTTTTTTCCGTTCTGCCCGCTCCTACTTCACTCCATCAGTCGACTTTCCGCGCCGCCTTGATTCCAAGCCCCTTGAACGCACCAGCGCTGCCGTCGCTGTCCCTAACCAAGGCGGGAAGGCCTCCGCTGCTTCCAGGCTTGGCCGCCTCCAGGTCAGCCTTGAGCCCCCGCATCCCCTCCAGCTCCGCACGGGAGGGCCACCCGTGCGGGCCACCTCCCGCAGCTGCCGAAGTCCTCACTCGCCCCAATTTCAGATGCCACTGTGGAAGGTGCTGCGCCCTCGGGGGGTTCGGGCTCACAGGTCTCCACTGGACGGTGGATTCCGTGGGCTTCCCCGCAGGCAGAGAGCGAGCGGAGGGACAGCGACCTCGCTCCCACGAGCGACACCTTATCCTAACGCCCCTTGGAAAAGAGCCTCTTCCAGGTCCCGGCTGGGGCATCGCCGGGCGGACACGAACCTCACGCCCTGAGCCCTCAGTTGCGTCCCCGGGTCGCTGGCACCCCTGGTCCAGGGTGGGAAGGTGGAGGAAGGAAGGGAGGCGCGAAGCGGGCCTCAGACTCGGAGCCCAGGTCCACCTGGGGCTGGCCAGGCTGGCAGAAGGCAGGAGGGTGGGGAGCGGCACCAGCAGAGGGCAGCTCTGCGGAGGAGCGAGCGCGCCGGCGGGTCGGGGTCCTGGCACCTTCGCTCCCTTCCCGAGGCGCCAGCGTCGCGCTCACGGCTTGGAGTCTGAGCGCCTGGACCAGCCGCGACGGCCGGTGGCCCGGGAATCGGAGCCGCGCCTGGGCCTTGGTTTCTGCCGGTACCGAAGGGAGCGGAGAGTGCGACCGAGCGGAGGGGACTCCGTCGGGGAGCAGCGCCAGAGCCACGTGCTCAGCTCCGGAGTCCGCAAACCTACCTCGGCGCCTCCGAGACCAGAGGGGCGGGGACCGCTATGCGTCCTTGGGACACCCCTGCTCTTCTCGCCTGTGGCCCTCTCTGTGCAGTGATTTGGGTGGGACTTTGCAAACTGAGTTTCTTTCCACTATGTCTCTCTTTGGGACGGGTCACTCCCCCAAGAACCCCCAGGATTTTGCGAATTCCCATGCCGCACTCCACTGAGAAAAGCCCTCAGAGCTGTGTATCCTTCGGCACCGGGGTGCAGCATTTGAGTTCCACGGCCCAGCTTGAGGTCGGAAGGTTGCAAGGGCCGAAGGCTCCGGTCGGGCCAGGGAACCGTATTCGTTTCCTCGGGATCCGCAAACCTCGGGGAGCCGTGCGGGGGCGGGGCGGAAGCATCGCCCGGAGCGGCCTGGCAGCTGGTGCGCGCGGCCCTGCGCTCGCTCGGGGTTTCTGGCCTAGCGGGAGACGCACCTGGACGCGTCCTGGGGAAGGAGGAGGCTTACAGGGCGTGCCCTGCAAGTCCGGGCCCTTGGACTTGGGAAGCGAGGCCCCGGAGCTTGCACAGCCCAGGGTGGAGACTTCGAGGGGAAACGTGGTTTGTTCCAGGAGTTCCTGCCATTTACAGCCGGCCGGGCGCGGAGTGTGCCCAAGCCCGAGACCCTCCCCTCTCCGGCCGGCCGAGCTCGCAGGCGCCGCCCTCTCCCCGCGCCCCGGGCCGCCACTCCGCGATCTCTTTAATATTCATGGGCGTTAATAGAGAGGCCCCCAGTATATCGGGCCATTGTGAGCGGCTCGTAGGGCTTGAATAGGCCTCGGCCCCCTTTCTTCGGTGCGGCTTCCCCAGGGGCCGGGCCAGGAGTGAATGGGCCGCTTCCCGCGCGGCGCCCCCTCCCCCGGGCAGCGAGGACATCTTTATCCCCGCGCCGCGCCGCCGCCGCCCGGGCCCCATTCACGCGGCCCGGCTCCGGCGGAACGAATCAATCGGCCGCGGCTCTTCGGAGGTCACCCTGCCGCCCGGGCGTCCCCTGCCCCCCGAGCCCGCGGAGTGGGAGAGGGAGGCCGCAGCAGGCCTACAGACCCACGGCTGGGGACCCCGGGGTGGGTCGTGGGACAGAGGGGCGCGCGAGGCGGGGCCGCGGGGCGCAGAGGACCCATCCTTGTTGAGGGCAGAGCGCACAGGGCACTGGGGCACCGACAGGACGCATCCGGCCCCCCAGAAGGCCCCGGCGCGCACCCCCTCTGGGTCACGACCGGCGCTGGCCGGACGCTGAGAGTGCGGAGCAGCCCGGAGGCCGCAGGCTTTGCGCCGCGCGCTGCACAGCGCTTTCGTCGCCGTCGCGGCGCCTGGGTCCGCACCGCGTTTCCTTTCGTGAGCGTCGGCGGGGACTAGGCGCGGCGGCGCGAACGGGCAGGCGGGGACCCGAGCGCACGGGTCCCGCCCCTCCCAACCCCACCCCCCCGCCTTCAGAGGCGCAGAAAGGAGCCCATTGTCCGCGAGAAATACATTTTTGGGGGACGAGTGAAAGCCTGCCTTTCTTTTGAACTTTAGAAGAAAGTCTCCGGCCCTCGCCCTCGGAGGCAGAGATTTGTCCCCCTCCCCTCTCGGGGCCTCGCGCGCCGTCTCCTCCCGAAACATCTGCCGGAGGACAAATCCACCCTGGAGGGCAGATCGCGCTGGCTTTAAGCCCCGCGAACTCATTAAAAAGATATTAGCGGCGGGGGCCCGGCCCGCGCAGGTATCGATCGCCCGGGATGAGCCCGAGGAAGAAAGGCGAAGAATGTGGCCGTACCGCCCGGGACCCCGCCCGCTCCCCACGCCTGCGCCCCGCCCGGAGCGGGCCCTGTCTCCCCGCGCCCCGCAGTCGCATCCTCCGTCCCCCTTCGCCGTCCTCGCCTCCCTCCCTCCCCGGCCCCTCTTCTCCTCCCGCGTGGCTCCCGCGCGCTCCGGCTCAGCCTTTCTGGTCTCCATCCCCGCCGGGCCTAGGACATTCTCTCCTTGAGGGGGCCCTGCTGCCCCCCATTCCTCCCTCGTCCCGCGGAACGGCTCGGGGTCCCAGGGCGCCTCTGCCCGCAAGGACATGGGCGACCCCGGGTGCAGGGCGAGGTGGGGCACAGCCTGCCCGGGAGTGGCGGTGGCCAGTGGACAGTAGGGGACCACCGGTTCCCAGCCCATCCCACACCCTAATTAGCAGAGGAGCCTCTGAGAGACAAAGGTGCGCCCCAGGCCGCCCACACCCAGGCTCCAGCAGACAGCTCTGAGCCAGGCCTGGGCTGGCAGGTGACTGGCACTCTGGGCACCAGGGCCTCCCTGCCCCAGGGCACCCTGGCTCGGCACGCGCACCCACCACCCCTGGCCTGCAATGGCAGCACCACAGCCCCAGGATCGGTGCAGGGGGCACCTGGGGAGAGCCGCGCCTGGTGGGGGGAACTTTGACACTAGGACAGAGGTGGCAAAGG